CACCGAGCTCCTGTGGCTGGAGGGTGGGTCAGGAGCTGGTCATCCTCCACAACTTTAGCCACTGGCCTTGGGAGGTGCGAGGAGCACAAAGGAGGCCATCCGGCCGTGCGGAATCCTAACCTCTGGTCACAGACGTACCTTCTTCAGGGCTCGCTCTCCTGCGGCTTTGTTTTCCAGGCCCATGTACAGTCTTCCTAGCTTCAACCACATGGAGGCCACGTTGAGGGAGTACAGTGGGTAGTGCTTGCTGCAAGGACACAGAGACAGCAGGCCACCTTACTTACTGCCACACCGCAGGCCAGTGGCTGCTGAGATTGTGGGCAGACTCCACGGCAGCTAGGCTTCTCCAAACTCGCCAGGCTCTGGCAGGGGCATACAGATGGCTCCTCAGGATCTGATCATCAGTGCCTTTCATTCTTCCCAGCCTGTGCATTTCTGAAAAGCTACATGAACACTGCTAGAGAAATCCTATACAGAATGTAAATGTAATACTCAGTCCCACTCTGGGTTGTTCTATTTCAGGTGTACCCAAAGCAAGGCCCTGGGAAAATATATTTTAGCATAAATGTCGCATTTGTGAGTGTAGCAATTAGGCCTGTCAGCTCAGTACATTTACACACATACACACCTCCATGTCTTAAGAGCCCATTTTCAGGGCCAGCAAGTGGTGTGGTGACTAAGGCCCTGGACTCCCACATAGTCGACCATGGTTCTAAGCTTGAGTCTGGCAGCTTGCTTTCTTACTTTCTCTCTCTCGTAAGTACACATGCCCTATAACAAATTTTAAAATAATAAATAAATCATTCTTTTTTTAAAAAAAAAGCCAATCTTGTCATACCCTCTGATTATTGCTCGTTTAGCAAAATTATAAACTCTCTGAAGTCAGGAGAACATCTCCCATTCTTCTAGATTCCTCCTGTTGTCTGGTAGAGGGCCCGGTGCACAGCAGCTGTTTGCTTCTGGGATTTAAGTGCTGGTGGGGCCTGCCTAAGAAAAGGCTACTCCTCCAGGTCAGGGCCCAGGAGGCAGCTCCTGGCAAGAAAGCATGTGTGTTTGTACACATATGTAGGGAGCAGTATTTACATACCAGTCTGCTCCAGCCTGTCTATCCTGAGAGTCTGTCCAGAAGAGTCATGTTCTAGCAATATTCCTGGGCCAGAGACAATGGACTACCTGTATCACTGGGGACCAGCAGCCCCAGAGCTAGACCTCTGGGAAGGCCCAGCAAGGGACAATGATGAGGCTGGTCTGCTGTCTATCTGTCTCCCTACAGATCCCCCAGAAGGAAGGGCGCATGAGAGCAGAGGAGCTCTTTGCCCACTCCTGGAGGAAGGAAAGGTTTTGAGATGATCCCCAAGGCAACAAATTCTGTTTCCAAGAGCAGCTTTTAGGAGCTGGCTTCCCCTTGGGCTCCCCCTGCTGGCTAATGGGAGCACAGTGGGGTGGGTGGAGGGCAGTCCTGGCAGTGGACTTTCAGACTAGACACAGACTTTACAACCCCCGATCTTAAAACCTGCAGCGGTACTGAGGGCTTCTCAAACTCATGAGAAACACCTAGGTGCTTGTGGAACTTAAGGAGTTCTGGGTCCAATGCCCACAGATTCTGATCTGCTTGGCATACTTGGTCTTGGGCAGACCCTGTAAATGTGGAGCATTGATCTTAAAGAGCGCTCTGGTGACCTGAGCTACACCACCCCAGCCCTGAAGGAGCTAGCCGAAGTCAGAGGATGTCAAGACTTCCTGCTGTCACCCACTTCAGGGTTTAATAACCCTCTTCCCTGTGGCTAATACTATAACTACAAGTTAAAACCCAACTTGTTTTACTGAAACCTAGGAAGGGTGGGTATTACCTAACTACAGCCTCCCAATGGTCTCAGAGTTTGTCCACTTGCAAACTGGGGTTGCAATGTGGAAAAGTAAAAGGGGATGGTGTAAGCAGTTTTTTTAAGACCACCACATTCCCAATTCACAAATACCCTTTATTTCTTGAGAGAGAGATTTTTGCTATAGGGCACATGTGGTCACTGGGAAGACACAGAGACAGAAAGCAAGAAATCACTCCCCAGGGACGATGGTCACACTACAATCCCTCTTCCTCCATTCCCCCTCTCCAGATCTTGAACCTCATGCACATGCACCCGGCATGAGTTTTCACCAGGTCCAGGAACTGAACGGCAGTCGACGACATGGGAGTCTAGCAATGTAACCATTACGCCATCTGCTTTTTAACACTAGCCTGAATCAACCACTGTGGATATGGGCCCTGGGCGAAGGCTGGGCTAGACCTGGTCTGCATAACCTCAACCTGCCTCCTTTGGTGTCTCCTTGGGAGGGATGAAGGACCACACCTGCCTCAGTGGAACAGCGCCCTGCACCTGTACCTCCAGATGTGGTGCAGAGAAGAGCCTGCTGTTCTAGGCCTGTTCCAACATGGACAGGAGGATGACAACACAGCTGTTCGCATTCCATCCCGTGCCAGGACGATCAGAACGGCCACTGCAATCACCTGTAGGGCTTAATGATTCTCTGTCCGTATCGCAGGGCTCCTTCCCAGTCCTGCATGTACAAGCAGACGCCCATGGCCTGGTACATCATGTGCAGCATGTACACGTTGCTGTCCTCGAACACGGAGCTCATCTTCTCCTGGCTGAGCTCGCAAATCTCCAGCAACTCACTAGGGGGTGCTGTGGTGTCAAGGGAATGACCAAACATGAGAGGCCCCTGCCGCTGGGAGACTTCCCTAGGCAAGGTTCAAGAAATGATTTCATCCACTCCACCTACATCCCCTGAAATAGTAAATCCCAGAAAGATAAGTGAAAAAGAAACTTTGTGTTTCTCAAAGAAACAAACTAGGAAACCTGAAGACCTCAACTGCTAAACAAACTACAGAATTATAGCCATGGCACAGTCCTTCAGCCTGATGGGAACATGTTGATCAGGACCACATCCTCAGTCTTCTTAAATTCAAATCCTTACCCAAGCTAGAACCCTGAGCACATCAGGTGGAGGATTTTAAAGGAAGTTGACCCCACAGTTCTTTCTTGGGCTGAGAAATAATGTGCCATTCTTCTAAGTTCCTGCCACTGAATTTACATTCTACCCTCTGGTTAGAAATTTAAGCCCTTAAGAACATGGACTTGGGGACCAGCAGTTAGCGTAATGGCTATGTTGCTGGACTCCCACGTAGTCGACCGTGGTTTGAGTCCCAGACCCGGTGGTTTAAACTCACGCCGGGTGCATGTGCGTGCGTGCCTAAGATCCCAAGAGGAGAATGGAGAAGGGATTGCGGCGTGGCCATCCCCCCTGGGGGGTGATTTCTCGCTTTCTGTGTCTCTGTCTCTGTCTGTCTGGTGAGCGCACGTGCCCTATAGCAAAAACCTCTCAAAAAAAAAAAAAAAAAGAACATGGACTTGTATAGTCGACAGAACTGGAGTAAAATGTGAGATGTGATCTGACCAGCTGTGTCCCCAGGGTTAATTACATGCTAACTCTAAGCCTCTTTCCTCATCTGCTACATGGGAATGCCAAAAGCCCCTATCCAGTGTCCTTGAGGGCAGGGGTAAAATCATCAAGGCTCCTGGCAAGGTACCATGCCCAAAGTAAGATGCCCAATAAATGAGGGCCTTCAAGAGCCTGTTCTTCACTGTATTCTGCCACGTGGAGCTCCTAACCAAACTAATAAAACAAGGAAAATTAAGGACAGTATAAAACCCTGGCAGGACTGACGCTACATCATGGGTGGTCAACACATCTTCTCACATGTACCAGTCAACAGTCTCTCTTCGATGTTGAGAACTGTGAGCCCACCTTGTTCTGCTGTCCCTTCTCAGTTCCCCACCACCTCTTGCAGGTGAGGGATAGTAAACTGGACAGTTGTAAAGGATATATTTGTAGTGCTTGGCTCTCCGGAACTCCTCAATGACATTGCGTGCATATCTGACCATGTCACGGATGGCTTCTGCCTTTGGGGGATCATTGAGCTTCCGGATTTCCACCTTGGCCTTATCCTGAGGGAAATGTCCGTAAGTGGAAGGCATTACGATCCATGGAAACCAAGCTGATGAGGAAATCATTTAAATAACACATATTCCCATGCAGGGGTAAAGGCCTACCCATTCCAAGGTTACAGAAGAATTAAAGGAAATTAGGCAATGGATCTAAAGGAAATTCAATACTCTAGTACCTTTTTACAAAAACAAAAATCTATTAACTTTCTAGCAATCCTTACCTAGGGAGGACGCCTAGAATGTGTTTGCTAGGGTGTTTACACACCTACAAATTAAGAGAATAGTAATAATTTGGGCAATGCCAGGGAAATTCCATATATTATGGTGAAGAGGCCAGATAAGCCTGGAAATTGTTCTCCTATGCTTTTTCCCTCCCCTTTTTTGAGCATTCCTTTCTTTTCAAGAAATAGTAATTTGAAAGATCTTTCTCTTATTTGTACACGGTAATAGAAATGTTTTCATCAGTTACTGGGAGCAGGTTTGAACAGAGACCCAGTCTAACCAGATTCCCTCTGGCTGTCTTTGTAAGGCATATCTTAAGGGTCAAAAATATCATAGGAGGAAATTCGCTAAGTGAGATAGGGGCACTCATTCGACAGGGAGGTCCTGAGCCCAGGGTGCTGTAGTGTCGGCATCCCTATCAGGTTGGTGAACCCACCTTGTCTTTGGTGGTGCACTCGTGGCACTCACAGGTGAAGAAGTAAGAATCCCGTAACCGGTCGTTCCTATCTTCTGTTGGGTACAGGAGGTCAATATAGCTGGTGAAAACCTAAGGGCTCCAAAAAGGCAATACCTCAGTCTGCTGCCCTCATCATTCCCAAGGCTCTGCACACCTCTGTGGTAGGGTCCTCTCAGGAAAGGAGGATGAGGCGGGCCACGGTAGAGGACACTGTTCACTTTAATACACTGCATTCCTTAAACCCAGAGGCCACCTAGTGTTGTCCACCTCCTCGTGTGGAGAGAAAGTCTACCGACTCAACGAGTCCTTAAAGCAGCCAACTGCGAGGTGAAAGAAGCCCTTCCTCCTCTTTCCCCCTTCTGTCCCAGAAGGAGCAATCTGTGAATCTACCCCAGGAGTATATGGCTTTGTCTCACCCAAAAGGGGAAAGATTCCACAAGGCCTTGGGATTCAGCCTGTGCTGTCTCTGCCTGGCTTTGTTTAGCCTCTTCTATCTCACAGCTCGGGATGGTCCAGATGCTTCCGTTGCTGACTGCTAGGTGCATGCAGTATGGTGTGGACACATGCGCACTGCTCCGCTCCCTCCTCTCCACACTGGCTGGCAATGGGGCAAGAGGTCCTACTCAGCTGGCTGGGGCTAACAGCTCTGGGGTGCAGAAGTCAGGTGGGGAAAGCACGGCTTCTAGAACACCAGCGTGCTATGGCCTGACCCAGCAGGCAGCTCCTGATCCTGACAGGCCAAAAACACTGGAAGTCTTCCCGCTGGGCAATGGGTTCCCCCGTCCTTGCTTGTTCCTGACAGGGTCTGTAACTAAGACTCGGAGCATATGGAGAAGGCCGGCATCTCAATGTCCATCACCTACTCGCTGGGACACACAGCCAGGCTTACGTTGGACGGAAGAGATGGATTTCACAAAGCCGCCAGCGTGCCAGTGACCCCTGGCACTGCCAAACAGGCAGGGAAAGAACGTGCACAGGACTAGATGCTGCAGGGGCAGCCAGGCCCCCCCAGACCTGGCCATGCTGGGGCTCACTAAGACACCCTGAGGAATGGTTCCTTCCTCCCTGAAGGGCAAGTAACCCGCAAAGCACTGACTTTCCAAAGAATGGAGGTTACTATGTTTGAGATCGGAACACATGAGGGCAATCGCCAGCCCTGCTTCCCTCCCAGGGCATGAGCCTGCCCGACATCCTTGGAAATGACTGATGGACACAGTGCAACAAACAGAAGGTTCCAGAAGATGGCGACAAAGGCCACTCAAGTGTCACTGCTCGCAGCTCAGACTGAACTAGTCTTGGTGCCAAACCATTTGTCTCTCTCATCAATACACAGGACTATGGGGGCCGGTGAGGAAATTCTGACGGACTACAATCGTCTGCTTTAATGGAGAGATCAGGGTAGTCTTGTAAGACATTCAGAGACCCAGATACTCTGGCCGAAGGGATACGCTTGTCATGAGGGAGTCGGCAAAGGGTAGAGAGGCCAACCTGCACCCTGAGTCTCAGGCCCCAAGTCAGCTGTGCACTCGTTAACATCTTCCAAGAAATCACAGCATTTATCATCGAATACACTGGTAATTATCTCTAGAATATAAAATATCCCCAAATGCACCTTGAAACAGCATTATAAATCACTGAACTGAATTTTAATCTAAATGTGTAGTTATAGTTCCTATATATAAAGTCACAGGTCTTGCTAAGAGTACAGAGCATACATACAGCAATTAATCAGGCCAGCCTTTTCAAGGTGTGGCATCTTATGAGGCCGCTGAGGAATCACAGCATGTGAAAAGAAAAGGGAACCACTTAGCAAGTGACAGGACACCTGGTTCACCCCCCAGCCCTAAGTCAGGGAGAAGCAGTGATGGTGCCTCTTGGCCATCGACTACCTCTGCTTCTCCAATCAGCACAGGCAGCTGGCCGGCTGAATTACCTGCCTAATGAAGTGCACCACAAACCACGTCCAGAGGTGGAACCCACCTGATGTGAAATGCTGCCAAGGTACTCAGAACAACAGCTCTGTGGCTACATGGGTTTTGGATAACCAAGGCTTTGGACCTTTTGGATGGGGACAGACAAGAATTCAACAGTCCCAAACAAGAGAACAAAGGGGGGGAGGGACTCAACCTCAATTGTGTGGCAACAGAGATACGCAGACTCTTAAAAAAGAATCAAAACCTTTATTCTGACCATTTCAGCAGTCTTCTTTCTCTTTAAATCTCTATAAACCTTTGTGAGAAATTTAGCTGAATCTATTCTTTCCTGATTCTTCTTGACCAAGGATGGAAATGGTAGGCACCAAATGGAAGCCCCGAAGTGTGGGGCTCCAAGCTATGGGTGCTCAACTGGGTCATTAACCCATGGAGGGTCTGAGGACAGATGCAGTTCAATGGCTGGAATCTCTTACACCCAAAGTTGTTAAGTGATGCTGCACAGATCTGTCTACACTGCCTTTCAAGCAAGGGTCACAAACTCACCTCCTCTCCAGGGCTGATTTCGTGTACGGCTCTTACTTCTGCCAGGGTCCCTCTGTAGGTCACAATGACATTGGGACAACAGCTATGATTCATCAGAGCAACACTGTCGAGAAGAGAAAACCCAGGTTTCTTAAGGAGGTAGAGACATAATTCCCTTGGCTGCTTGTTTGCTAGGTCTGTAAGATTTTTTTTTTTAAATGTTATAGTTGGTCATCATATTCTAAGAGGTTATTCTGCATGCATTTATAATCTCATATAACATCTGAAACTTCAACCCTACTGAAAAGTAAAATCTTCAGCCCAAAACAGAGATATCTAAGCCAAAACCAAAACACACATGACAGTGAAGACAGCAACAAGGCCAGCCAGGTAGAATGGTGGTTAGGGTGGCTGGATTCCACATGGCCAACTGTGCGGTTCAAGTCCGGAACCCAGTGGCTTGGAAAACATACCAGGCACATGTGTGTGCGTGCCTAAAACTCCAAGAAAACAGTAAAGGTGAAGGGACTGCAGTGTGGTCATCCCCTCTGAGGGGTGCTTTCTCATTTTCTTCCTCTCCTCCGCCTCCCTGGCTCCTTCTGGAGCACATACACCCCATGGCAAATTGAGGGGAAAAAAAGCAACAAATGGCACATGTATTCCTTCCTGAAAGATGCAGGTCTCAAAATTAAAAACCTATTGCATTGTATGCTGCAAAAGGCAAACAGGTTGTCTCTTCAAGCAGCTTTTTATACTAGTGGGTTGTTTCTCACATGTCTTCAGATGTTGAGAAATGCTCGCTTCCTGAGTGAGGGAGGGCTGTGATCGCCCCAGAGACCTGGAGAAGCCCGTCTGAGTCTCACTGCACCTCAATTTCCTCATCTGGGAAATTGGGACATGACTGTTCTGCTGCCCACTGTCTGCTTTTCAGGGACAGCGAGGACAGAGAGAGATTCGCCTATGCGAGGTGCTTTGAGCTTTCTGATTATATCAAGGTCAAAGTTCTGAGAGCAGAAATTTCTAAACTACAGGTTTTGCTTGATCTCTGAAAATGCTGCCTTTGAAATCACAATGCCGATAAGATTTTAGCCCGAAGGGATTTTTTTTCCCCAATTAAAACTGCCCGGAAACTGGGGCTCATGCTCCCATGGCACTCACATCCATGTGTATCAGGGTCACCTGTCTGACCCTTCAGAGGCCAGACCCCTCCCCTGCTTGCCCAGAGAATACAAAAAAGTGAGAGGTTTCGAAGCCTGACAAGGGCGAGCTGCCCCGGGTTTGCCATGAGGGGTGCTGGAGGGGGAGTGACCGTCTTCCACCTCCTTTTTTGTGAGAGGTTTAAGTGGAGTGTGTGGTCTTATGCAGGGACCAACAGATGACTTCCAAGTCTTGTCTTTGGGAGGGATACAGTTGCGCCCTGCACTGGGGCCCACCCTGGTTCCTAGCAAGTGATACACAGGGAATTGACGCTGGGAAATTTGCTGCCTGAATGTGCGGTGAGGACAGCTGAATGAAAGGAAAAGCCGCTCTCTATTGGGTTGGGCTGTCAGGAATATCGTGACAAATATCTGCATAGACAAATACGTGACTTTCTGGATGACCAAATAGAACTGTCCTACAGAAGAACTATATTTAATATCTTTATTAGATCTCTTTTAATGGGTACAAAAGACATGCACTATAGCAAAAACTCTCAAACAACTCATCGTTCCTGGGTAGCCACTGAGAAGCACGGAGGCTGCGACCACACCACTCCATCTCGCTTTTCGTCTTTACCATACTGAGAGCAGAGACTCCAGGCTCGATTTTGGTTCAGAAGTGAATGTAAGTCCTCACAGGGACCAAGGCCCTCCCTCTTTTTTTTAATCTTCCTTTTTCTAAGCGCAAAATTCTAAACAGAGATTCGCCCCCAAATACTTCTCTCCTCACTATCAGAATTCAGAATTCGAAATGCAGGTGACACGATTTTGTCCGTAGGGACAGTCATTTTATGGGAGTAAATTGTTGGTCTCTCTGGTTTAAGTGAGTCTGTCAGAGCTGCTCATGAGACAAAAGACTTGCACCTGGCACACAATATCCCTTTAGATGCAACCAATTTATGATGTGGATTAATTCAGGCTGGGGATACAGGAAGGGTTCCTTGGCCATCTTTGAAGCAAGGGCTTGATATCAGGGGCCTGAAGCATTCTAGAAATGCCCATTTCAGCAGGGAGACAACATCAAAGCATTCTGGGTAATCTACTAAGTTATAAAGGTCTTCACTTGTCAATTCACTAGGCTTTTCTTTTTTTGGGGGGGGTGGGGGCGAGAGAGAGACAGAGAGAGGGAAAATAAGTAATCACCCCCTAGTGGGGATGGCCACACTGCAATCCGTTCTCTTCCATTCTCCTCTTGGGATTTTGGGCATGCATGTGCATGCATTGGTGTGATTTTCAAGCTGCCGGGCCCGGGGCTCAAGCCACAGTCAGGATGTAGGAGTCCAGAGCCTTAGCCACTATGCCACCTGCAGGCCCCTAACCAGGCTTTCTTAAATCACTCATGTGTTTTTGCAAATAGAGAGAAAACTCCTATAGTTCCTTAAAATTTTTCTCTAGTTTACTACTTCGGTAATATTCTCCTTCTAAACTACGCTGTGTCCGTGCTGGTATTTTTCCAAAACGACAGATGAGGAAGAAGTGCATCTATTCGCCACCCAAGCCAACTGCCAATTCTTGGCTGGCAATTACCGTTTCACTTTGAGCGTAAGAAACCCAAAGATTTCCAGAACCATCATTATGCAAAAGCAGATTTCTCAGCAGGGCCTGGACTGTTTCTTCTATACACACTATAAAATATTCCTTAATAACAGCTCTCTGCCTAGCAGGACTTAACAAGCAACTGTTCTCTTAACTACTACCTTCAGATCCTTAAGTAGAAAGGAAATATTTTGAAATCTGGCAGATTAAAAAGCTGTCTTAATTCACTTGGAGTTTCATGTCTACCACATGCAGTTAAATGAGTTATAGAAAAATCAAGAAAAAAATCAAATTGGTGTTAAATAAGTAAAAAGAAGAGAAGTCAAACTCAGCCTACTCAGGAAATATTGCTGATCCCAAATGAGAAAGTTCTTCATCTTCAATCGTGAAGCCATTACAGTTAACCTGCAATGAGAAGAGGGGAGAAAGAAAGAAAAAAGTTGCTAAAATTTCTCTCTGAATGGAGAGCATTTCTTTAATTGCGACCTTTAAGAAATTAATGGGGAACATGTTCTAATTTAGTAGTTTCAAAAGCTTTCGTTTGGCCATGGCATCCTTTATTCAAACAAAATTTATGTGTCATCCTACATGGAAATAAAGACAAGAACTATTAGGGTTGAAGCACTCTACAGGGTGGCCTGCCTACTCATCTAAATATAAGGGTGTGTTCAAAAAATTACAGATAACAGATATTGTGAAAAAACTATCCATGGATTTGAAAATTATTACATACCAAAATATAGTTGTACTCTCAAAAATATTTTTAAATTTCTTTTATGAGTGTGGAGGACAGAAAAAGAATAAATGAGAAAGAAAAAGAGCACGTTTATATGTGGACCCCCAACAGGGTCTGGAGGCCATGATCCAACCCGCTTCTAGCAGCCCCAGATCATGGGCATGCACTTACACAGGGAGGTTTTCAGACACAAACTGGGAACTTTCCCATGTGGGTCAGGGCATGGGCTGTTTCTTCTACACACACTATAAAATAGTATGTAGCAGCACTGTGCTCCAACACCGTGCCAACCTCTGGGAGCTAAATTTGTACTTTAATTCCACTTCCATAAACTTTTTGGTACCTTTATTGAGTGGCCTAAGAACACTTCAGTCCCCTAAAGCTGCATGGACTGAAGTTTGCACACCTTCCTGGGAGTCAGGACATCCTGAGTCAGGACAGCTGGAGTCTAATCCCAATTATGCCACAGCTTCATTGTGTGATCTTGAGCCCATCACTGAGGGCCTCTGTTCTTAAAAAAGGAGGCACTTATTCCAATGCCTGTCTCATAAGGTGAAGTGGTAAATATGAAAGTCCTTACTCATCTCCTCTAATCACTGTCCCTCCCTTTGAGGGACAAAGGACCAAGGGCCTGAATCTGAGGGACTGAGACCTGGCCTTTCATGTCTCAGCCAAACCGACCCCTGGCTACTTTCTCATCCTTTAAAAGAAATGTTGCATTGAAAAATAGTAAGGGCAACTCATCAGGCTTAACTTAGAGGGAACAGGCTGAAAATGAGGACTGTAAATGCCAATTTCTGTATTGTTCTATAAATTCATTCTTTCTACAGACATCTATGGAGAGCCTTGATGTGCTGGGCACTGTGCACAGAAAAATGAAAAGGCCAAAATCTGTGGCCTCAAAGGACACCCAGTCTCTTGGAAGACGATTCAATGGTGTTCTTTATACGTCTCTAACATTTCAAGCAGGAAGGGAACTCAATCTCTTTACTTTTTACGTGACGAACCTAAAGTCTGAGAGGAGCAGGAACTTGTCTATAGTCAGAAAACGAGTTGGTGGCAATGGCTGAAACTCCTGCTCATCCCAAGCTGCTGGTGAGGTGTGCATGCCAGATGATTCCACCCCATGCTCCTCCACACCTGGAGACACTGGTCAGCCATAGTTCAGGCCAACTGATGGATTTTTTATAAAACTAGCATCCCCTGAGCACTTCCTCCCAGCTGGGCACCATGCTAAGGATTGTAAATCCGGGTCTCACTCTACGATCATTATCTACACTCCTTTTGCAAATGTGAGAACTGAGGCTCAGAGAGGTTCGCTCTTACATGATATGTTCAAGGAAATAAAAGTGGCAACTGGCAGAAGAAAAGTCAAGAGTTCACACTGGAAAGTCTGACAAGGCCTGGTTTCTTTACCCTATATACCATGTTTCTTCTAAAACTGACTCGAGCTACTAAATGTTAAGGTGACAATTTAATAAGATTAAAGAGCCAATGACAAAGGCTTGGAAATCTCAGTACTCACAGAAGTGAGGCTATGATGGGTCTGACTTGCAGTGTTTATATACAATTCAACTTAAGAAGAAGAAAATGGGAGGGCACTACAGGTTAATAAAATAACACACAGCCTTTGACATCCCAAGCAGCTGGGTGTTTCTGGGCTGAGGAAAGCTGGCATACTATTTTTTGTGCCAACATCAAGTATTCTGACCAATTTTGCCAATGGACATCAGTAACCATAAACCAATGATCATCAACCAAGGGTTTTACACTCATTCAACAAAGTTCACTGGAGCATGAACGTGTGTCCTGCACTTTACTAGATACTAAGTGATCTCTATACAATCTTAGACTTGATTCTGACATGCCTCGGCAGGGTTCTGGTACCCGCAAATGACAACAAATGTTTGAAAATGAAAGAATGAATGAGAGAATTAGGCGTCAATTTTCAAAACTGATCTACCGCTCCTTACTACTATCAGGGATTCTTGCTGCTTTGCTATCTCCTCTAGAGCAAGCCCAGCTGGGACAGTCTATGACTCCGGGTTCCTTCAGGCTTGAAGGTTCCATGACCATCAGGCCCTTTGCTCCCTCCTCTTCCCGTGGAAGAACATGCGTATTTCTTCATAAGTGAAGGCTCCTGTAAGCCTAAGTGTTGTTACTGCTTCTTTCGGGAAGGTGGTGATGGCGTTTAAACTGAACTGCATAGCAATTATCCTGCCAGCTCTCCCTCCCTTCTGTAATCTCCCTATAGAAAAAAAAGGGAACTGTGCGTTAAGAAAGATGCATGGGCCAGAGTCCTCTTTTTCAAGTCAAATCAGGCATTAAGTGCCTTGCAGGAGCTAGTCTCATAATTAGCATTTAGACTCAATGTAGGCTGCACACCAAAAATACACTTCCCAACCACGCATATGTTCCCGGTGATTAAAACACACCTCGGTGCTGTTGAAGGAGGGTGTTGCCTTCTGCCGCCAGCTGTTGTGAGGCTGCACCGTTAACCCACAGAAGCCTCTGAGCACCAGACAGAGGAGAGGGCTCTAAGGCTGGGGCAGTGGTCACTGTGGCTAGGGGTTGATAGGCAGGACCGCAGGGGTCACGGGGCTGCAGCAACACTTCTCAATTTTGCTTGGCAGTTTTCTTTGGAGGATGCTAAATGTCCTTTTTAAATTTACATGTGAAAAGGTGTGTGCATGGGTTCTTTTGTGAACACAATCTCAGAATGGACACTATGATCTGATAAAGTCTATAAAAGAATTACCTACAGTTATATGTGTACATATATAAATGTATATATAAATCTGCGTATATATATACACACATACATACATATGTGTGTGTATGTATATACTATATACACACATATGTGTATACACACACACACAGTTTTTTCTCTTTTTAAGGCACATATGTTCTGGATTTTATGAGTCATTCCAAATTTCACAAACTCTTATTTTTCCCACATGTATACTTATACTTGTACGATCAGTGCCTTGAGCTCGATTATAGAAATACGGTCCCTGGGCCAGCTAGTGGCACGGTGGCAAAGGTAGCTGGATCCCCACATGCCAATCATCCAGTTCAAGTTCTGGACCCCATGACTTGAGAAACATACTGGGTATGTATGCAGGGTGCCCAAAAATCCTGAAAAGAGGAAGAAATGGAGGAGAAAGGATTGACCATTCCTCATGGGAGTGATTTCTCACTTTCTCTTTCTCTGTCTTTCTCCAGTGAGCTCGTGCACCCATATCATGCACCCATATTAACACCAATAATTCATCTAATTCATCTACCAGCATGTGTCACTGTGTCAGAGGAAGGTTTATCTTTCCTTATAGCTAGAAGTGAAGATACTTTAGGTTTACTTTTTCATATAGCCATGCCTCCTCTAACCCAGAAAAAAAAAAAAATCACATACTCAGTTTAACAAAAAATATAAGAGAAGTCAATTCCTCAACTTCCTATTCTCAAATAAATCCACTATCTTAGGATTCTTAGGAAAATGTGGTGTACATCCGAGATCATAAGAAATTCAGGAAGGTCGCTTATCCCTTCTACCTTAACACTCACAACCTGAACCTTTTTTTTTTTCCTTTTGTAAGGAATAGCTTTTTTTTTTTTTTCCTGATTATGACAGTCACATAACTAAAATATATATAAATAAACTCTGGAAGAGAATTCACTGAACTGTTAACAGTGGTTCTTCTGAAAAGGTTGAAGTGGATAGAAATAAGATTCATTCCTTTATATGTGCAATTTATAATGTGTGTGCTTTTTACCTTTTTCCTCTTGGTATTTTTTTAAGTAATACATGCTCATTGTAGAAAAATGCAGAATATCATCCAGCAAAAACAGCTAAATTTTTCCATAACTCAGAAGACAATCAACAGAAAACTTCCATTTAATCTTTACATAGGTCTGTGTTTCTTCGTAGCATACACATTTTTCATCCTGCTTCTATACTTAAGGTTGTATCATTATTTTACTACATCCTTAGTCTTTAAAACGTAACTTACAAAGGCAACGTACCCTTCCATCACATGGCTGTGCCACAATTCATTTAATCAAACTGTTACTGCTCACCCTTTTCTAATATTTCTTTCTTCCTCCTTCTGTCTTTGTTCCTTTCCCTCTCTTCCTTCGTTCCTTCCTTCCTTGGGCTTTTAAAAGAACCCTACAATAAACTTGTATGTAAATCTCTGTCCATAATCTCCAGATTATTTCCTCGGCAGATTCCTAGAAATGGAATTACTGGGTAAAGGATACATTAGTGATGCTTATTCTACTCTAAGACAAAAACATGTCATTGTCCACCTAAGCTCATTTATACAATGAGAGGCAGAAGGTTCTGGCAGGACAATGGAGCTACCTGCACTAATGGAGCAGAATCCCAGTATTTCACCCTGGGTAGGTCACCTTCTACTAGATGCCCAGTGAGTGGGGGAAGAAAGGGGAGGTGAGGGAGAGAAGCCCTCGCAGTGACAGGAAGACTATATCCTGCTGGAGCAAGCCAGCTACATCCTTGCCTCTTTTCTCCTGACACTGTCCAAGCCATGGCCTCTCCAGTGGCCTACTTTCCAGTTCTTTCATCACTTTGAGGTTGTCCTTATTTAGGAGCCTCTCTTAATTTTTAAATTCTCTCTGATTTTAGAAAACCTAGGCTTCTCTACGCAAGATTTCGAAGCACCCATCAGGAAAGTCTTCCTGCATGTGGATCTGCTCAGGCTCCTCTGTGTGGTGGCTGTCCTTGCTTGGCCACCAGAGGAGGCTCCTCTCAGGGGATCTGCATAGGTTTTATCAATGCAGCCTTGGTAGGAGTAAAAAATCACTACAGATAGAAGGACAGCTTTTTTAGAAGGGAAAGTTTAAGAGAAGCAAAGTAAAATTTAATGTAGGAACTTCAAATGATCTTTCTCTGCAGAGCTTAGAGTATGCATAGTACTGAGGGCAACGGCTACTTGTTTTCACAATCTCTTTCCCAAGCAGAGGTAGAGGTGAATCTTCTACAGTCTACCCCACAGTGAAGGCATCACAGAGGGGACCTTGACCTATTCAGGTCATCTAGCAGGGTCACAGCAACTCAGGGTCCAACAGGCCCAGAGCCCGGCCGCCAAGTGAGACCAACTTCTATTACCATTGCATTCACTGAGTATGGGTGGAGAGAGGATAGGCCACACTGATGTCCCCTGATGGCGCGTGCTTACCTGTGCAAAGAGTACTACTAGGTTATCGTTGTCAGGGAACTCGAGGTGCTTGGAGTAGAAGTGGCGGAGTGCAGCAATGTCACTCTGAATCAAATCCTTCTTCTCATTGTCTAACTTATCCAGATCTGTGGACAAACAATCCATTATTCACCAGGTAGAAAACTGGATTTCTAGCTATATCCTTTTCTTACCACAGCTAGCATGGAGAAGAGGGAAAAAGAAAAATTAAAAACCAATATGTCCAGCCACCAGAGAATATTCTTCCCCATCACTTGGCCTCAACGAACGCTAGGGGAAGACAA